TTCCAACCTTTCCTGAGATAGCCCCCACACCTCCTTCCTTCCAGCCCAGATTAATACACCCTCTTCATCATCCTATTCCCTCCACCCTCTCTAAATGCCCAAGATGCATCAACAACCCCTTCTCAACCCTCTGTCATCTAATTTCTACACTCCGAATTCTCTACATAATATATACACCACATACTGCTCTTGAACATGACACCTCCACTGCTTCTAGTCTTCTCAATTCAACATTCAAAACCCATGCCTCACACACATAAAAGTGTTGGTGCTGCTCTACTCTACTACAATCCTCATCTAGTCTATGGTTCTCTTTCACAGATCCATCTGCTGACATGTTCAATCTCAAATACATACCTGAATGGATTTCCTCCTATATAGTATCCAGTTTTTTCATGGTCTAGACTTGTCACTCTCATCACCATGTTCTTGTCTATGTCCACTTTTAAGTGCCTTCTTTTGCATACCATCCCAAATTCATCCACCAACCTTTGAAGTCATCTTCACAATTTAACTAAAATACTGTCATCAGCAAGAGCATCTGTGAAAACTTCCACTATATCAAATTCACCATCATTCAATCCAACACCTCTCCCTAACACCCTGGTATTTGCTTCTTTTACAACCCCATCCGATATTTGTATTATTGCAAATTAATTCATGCATAGGTATGTCTTGCCTAATATGCCCGGTCAGACAAGGAAAACTCTATAAAATAGATTTTCCTAATTTTTTTTTTATCTTTTGTAACAATAGATATGCATTCATGTGATATATGGAATGATTATGTATTATTTTCCATGAAAACCTAACTTAACACTGATAAAATTTAGATGCCATAATATACATTAATGTTACCTTGCCTAGCCATGGTTAGCCTAACTTTAATTACTGCACTATAAAGGGATTTACAGCAGGTATGTGCAAAGTTCCTTCTTGAAGGCATAGCCAGGACTAGTTGGTAATTTCCCTCGTATTTAAAGATATGTTAATGAAAAGCCTTAGGTCCTTTATGCTCGCAATAAACCTTTGATTTAGTAGACTAATTGGAAGAGGGGAGAGGGACCAGAAGTGTCAGTGTAGTTTATATAGATGGTATTGTTTTGCCGTGACTGTAATAATACTGAACAATTTTGTAACCAACGGACTTTGTGCAGTTTCCAAATGAACTGACCCAGCATATTTTGTCCCGTAATTCCAACAATCATTAAACTGAAAGTCTGCTTGATTTAAAGCCTACTGACCCCACAAGGATCATTAAGGTTGCATGAAACCCACACACCACAAGTCAGGAATACTTTTATCCTAAACTAGAGATGAAACTTTCAGTGTATTAACAGTACACTAAAAGGCACACATCTCTCGGATACCCTTCCTTTTGTGCTTAAAGAAGCAATATTTTAAGTGCACTTATTCCACTTAACTGGGACTATGTTGCACATTGTGACTCCTGTTTTCATTAAAAGTTATCTCACTATGCAGATCTGAAACCAGCCACTTAATTACTTTTTTCAGATACAAGTCAAGATATTCGTTTCTGTCTTGGGGTTACAATTTGAGAGATTTGGGAATTTATTTAATGAGTTTAGGCAGTGTATGTTCTCTATATAGTTTCTAGGTCTGGAATTTTGTCACCTATAGCTGGGGACTTATTTTGCATTCAAGAGAGTACAAGCTCTTTATAACAACTTTCATTTGATAAGGTTTTCTTTCACCTTATACCGGTAATTCTTTTGCAGTTATGATTATCCAAAAGGATGTTAAAACAAGTTTTTCTGACATGCTTACTCCTAGGTCTCTTACACTGTCCTTCAGCTTTATATTATGCTTTGATTTTATTACCGGTGCCAGATTAAGAGAGGGCAATGGGGTGCTAGCCTGCTGCCCTTAACGCAAAAGGAAAACCCACTAAGCAGGGTTCTAAACCATATGGGTACAAAAATATAATGCTGTGAGGTATCACCGATACCCCCCCCCCAACAAACACACACACACGGGGCCAGGAGCTAAGACTCGACCCCTGCAACCACAAATAGGTGAGTACACACACACACACACACACACACACACACACACACAAACACATGGTGACAGCAGTAAGACAAGAGAGAGAGGGGTGGGTGGATTGCATTTTCTTGGACTGCAAGAAGGCGTTTGACACAGTTCCACACAAGAGATTGGTGCAAAAACTGGAGGACCAAGCAGGGATAACAGGGAAGGCACTACAATGGATCAGGGAATACTTGTCAGGAAGACAGCAGCGAGTCATGGTACGTGGCGAGGTGTCAGAGTGGGCACCTGTGACCAGCGGGGTCCCGCAGGGGTCAGTCCTAGGACCAGTGCTGTTTCTGGTATTTGTGAATGACATGACGGAAGGAATAGACTCTGAGGTGTCCCTGTTTGCAGATGACGTGAAGTTGATGAGAAGAATACACTCGATCGAAGACCAGGCAGAACTACAAAGGGATCTGGACAGGCTGCAGACCTGGTCCAGCAATTGGCTCCTGGAGTTCAATCCCACCAAGTGCAAAGTCATGAAGATTGGGGAAGGGCAAAGAAGGCCGCAGACGGAGTACAGTCTAGGAGGTCAGAGACTACAAACCTCACTCAAAGAAAAAGATCTTGGGGTGAGTATAACACCAGGCACATCTCCTGAAGTGCACATCAACAAATAACTGCTGCAGCATATGGGCGCCTAGCAAACCTCAGAACAGCATTCCGACATCTTAATAAGGAATCGTTCAGGACCCTGTACACCGTATACGTTAGGCCCATATTGGAGTATGCGGCACCAGTTTGGAACCCACACCTAGCCAAGCACGTAAAGAAACTAGAGAAAGTGCAAAGGTTTGCAACAAGACTAGTCCCAGAGCTAAGAGGTATGTCCTACGAGGAGAGGTTAAGGGAAATCAACCTGACGACACTGGAGGACAGGAGAGATAGGGGGACATGATAACGACATACAAAATACTGAGAGGAATTGACAAGGTGGACAAAGACAGGATGTTCCAGAGATTGGACACAGTAACAAGGGACACAGTTGGAAGCTGAAGACACAGATGAATCACAGGGATGTTAGGAAGTATTTCTTCAGCCACAGAGTAGTCAGTAAGTGGAATAGTTTGGGAAGCGATGTAGTGGAGGCAGGATCCATACATAGCTTTAAGCAGAGGTATGATAAAGCTCACGGCTCAGGGAAGGGGACCTAGTAGCGATCAGTGAAGAGGCGGGGCCAGGAGCTCGACTCGACCCCCGCAACCTCAACTAGGTGAGTACAACTAGGTGATTACACACACACACACACACACACACACACACACACACACACACACACACACACACACACACACACACACACACACACACACACACACACAAACACACACAAACACACAAACACACACAAACACAAACACACACAAACACACACACAAACACACACACAAACACGTTGCCCTCTTCAGGTGTGACATCAGGAAATTCAAAGTCAGGCGCAGACAAGGGAATGGTAAGCAACAACGGAGACATGCCGAACATGAAGGCCCTATCAGACCCACGTGGGGCCAGGGAAAAGACGACGAGCACACTGAGATCAAACGACAGGTCCGAAGACAATGAAGGTATGCTATATGCAGAGATTCTAACAGCCAACTGCAGTAGCAAGGGACAGCTGGTCAGGAAAGACAGTCCACTGAGAACTAACACACACACAAACACACACAGTTCCTCACAAGAGATTAGTGCAGAAGCTAGAGCATCAGGCGCATATAACAGGAAGGGCACTGCAATGGATCAGAGAATACCTGACAGGGAGGCAACAACGAGTCATGGTACGTAATGATGTATCACAGTGGGCACCTGTGACGAGCGGGGTCCCACAGGGGTCGGTCCTAGGACCAGTGCTATTTTTGGTATATGTGAACGACATGACGGAAGGGTTAGACTCAGAAGTGTCCCTGTTTGCAGATGATGTGAAGTTAATGAGGAGAATTAAATCTGATGAGGACCAGGCAGGACTTCAAAGAGACCTGGACAGACTGGACACCTGGTCCAGCAAATGGCTTCTCGAATTTAATCCTGCCAAATGCAAAGTCATGAAGATAGGGGAAGGGCACAGAAGACCACAGACAGAGTATAGGCTAGGTGGCCAAAGACTGCAAACCTCACTCAAGGAGAAAGATCTTGGGGTGAGTATAACACCGAGCATGTCTCCGGAAGCACACATCAATCAGATAACTGCTGCAGCATATGGGCGCCTGGCAAACCTGAGAACAGCATTCCGACACCTTAGTAAGGAATCATTCAAGACACTGTACACCGTGTATGTCAGGCCCATACTGGAGTATGCAGCACCTGTTTGGAACCCGCACTTGATAAAGCACGTCAAGAAACTAGAGAAAGTACAAAGGTTTGCAACAAGGTTAGTTCCAGAGCTAAGGGGAATGTCCTATGAAGAAAGATTAAGGGAAATCGGCCTGACGACACTGGAGGACAGGAGGGTCAGGGAGACATGATAACGACATAAAAAATACTGCGTGGAATAGACAAGGGGGACAAGGACAGGATGTTCCAGGGAGGGGACACAGAAACAAGAGGCCACAATTGGAAGTTGAAGACACAAATGAGTCAGAGAGATAGTAGGAAGTATTTCTTCAGTCATAGAGTTGTAAGGCAGTGGAATAGCCTAGAAAATGACGTAGTGGAGGCAGGAACCATACACAGTTTTAAGACGAGGTTTGATAAAGCTCATGGAGCGGGGAGAGAGAGGGTCTAGTAGCAACCGGTGAAGAGGCGGGGCCAGGAGCTAGGACTCGACCCCTGCAACCACAAATAGGTGAGTACAAATAGGTGAGTACACAAACACACACACACAGGGCTCACACAAGAGGCCAAGTGTCTATCAACAAATGCTTTTGATAACTGCCAACTATATATCTCATACAGACACAGACAGTCACAAGACACAGACAGACAGGCAGACACACACACACACTTCTTACATGAATTTCATCCATTATGGCAGCAAAACGAGGACACTTTGATTGCCATTGGTTGATGAGTGTCATTGCATTGTCAAAGTTCCTCACATACTCAGTGTACATCTTCAAGAAGGGTGCAAAGCTTTTCATGATGTCCCCTGAAACAAAACAAAAATCACATTAAATGACATGAAATATTTTACTGAAACTGAATCTCTTATTTGCTTGTGCACAACACTGCAAAGAAAAAATACGAAAGTAATACATCATGTAGCACATAAGTTTATGCAGTATTCATAACATTGACCACACTAAACAAGAAATGCACAAATTTTTGTTTACAATACATTAATTCCTTTAACAAATGAAGTTCAAACACCATATGACAGTAAAAGGACAATAAACCCTTACTGTAATTCCTAATAACAACAGTAAAATTAGTACTACAATAACTAGTGGTCTCTCTCTTATCCCAGTTTCATCATGTATGCTATTCCCTACTTATGAGAACCTGTCCAATATATCCCAGCATATATACAAAGATTTTTTATAATCATAACTAAGCACTAAACCCATAAGGGTCATACAGACCTGTGTAATCAAAATCAAAATTTTATTTCTTTGCTAAGGTTACAATGTATGTTTACATTTCATAATTTGAGTGGTACAAAGAAAGCTACTATCATGCCGAGGCATTTTGGGCAAACTTAACCTAATACAGTACGTTTGTAATACTGGCTTAATAGTTAAGGGATAATAAAATATTTGGGAGAGTTGCTTTAAATTTGGTTAGAGTTTAGCATAGTGTGGGTATGGTTGTTACTGAGAGATGAGATGATTTTTGAGTATGGTCCTAAATTGATTTGTGGGCAGGGGACCTCTTGCTGTTTCAGGCAAAGTTCCAAATCTTTGGGCCCTTTATGTGCATTGTATTTTTGAAGTGTGAGACGGACATGAGGGATATCAAAAAGTGTTACTTAGGCAACTTAAATGCCTGCTTTGCCTGATCAGCTGGAACAATATTTTCCAGGCTGAGGGAATGACCACCTCAAAACTAAGTCTTAGGGGTGATGGACTGATTACATCATCTTTACATCTCTGCTGCCTCCTCTGTACTTGACTGAAGAAGCCTACTGTGCAGGCAAAACGTTTCGGAATAAAGTTGCCTAATTGTTGTACGTCTTATTTATCAACTTGTTGGTATTATATACCATACTCACTCGATCTTTATCTTACCTACCAGGCCAACAAAAACAAAACTCACCAATCCTTCTGTTTTGTTCCCACTGAGCCATACGTTCCTCAAGTTGAGGTAAGAGGAAGTCATGGTGAAGCTTGTAGATGGACTTAACATTGGAAAACATATGTGGAATAACATCATGGGGAAACATGTGGTGCGCCCGGTTCTCATGGTCCACCCGGAACTGAAACTCCTGAGGGTCAGAAGTGGAATAAGTTTTTATGTATTAAATTTCATTTCTTATTCTTTATTCAAAATATGCAATATATAGAGGTTTTATTATACAGCACATATTACATTTTATACAGAACAGTGGACCTTCAGTTATTGGCCATAACCCGTTCCAGAAGGTCGGCCTAAAACCAAAATAATATTTCCCCTAAGAATTAATGTAAATACAATTAATCCATTCCAGACACCCAAAAATATTAACAGAAATCATTTTTGCGAAGATTAATTAATTATAGTTTTACATACACAAAACAACGAGAACTAAATAAAATATATACATGATCAATTAAATCACTATTACATACCTTTATTGAATACTCTTGTTGGCTTATGGAAGATAGGGAGGAGGAGAGGGAGGGAGTTGGGGGTTATTGTTTGGAAGGGGAATCCCTCTCCATAATGACTTCAGGTAACAAGTCCCTCTATGGGGTTACTTCCCTTCTTTGTCTTTTAATGCCACTAGGACCAGCTTGAGACTCACTGGACCCATGTTGAACAAAAAAATCTGTCCAGAGAGGTCCGTTTCTGGTGTCTCTAAGATTTCCCTGATGTGGGACAAGGTTTTGTCACTGAACATGTTGCAGATATGGCTTGTTTGAGCTTGGTCAGGATGATAGTTCTCCACAAAAGCTTGCACCCTACTCCACACTGCACAAATCTCCTCAATCTCTGAAGAAGGCGCCTCTTTCTCTCCCTCTTCCTCCTCTGAAGCAAGTTCCTCAGCTGTGGTCTGTTGCTGTTCCAGCTGAAGCTCTTGCAGCTCTTCAGTGGTTAGCTCTTCACTGTGGTCCTCCACCAACTCTTCCACATCCTCGCCACTAACATCCAACCCCATGGACTTCCCCAAAAACACAATAGATTCCACAACAGGTGTAAGGTCTCAGGGTCAACCCCATACCCTTCAAAATCCCTCTCTTGGACACAGTCTGGCCATAATTTTCTCCAGAGTTCAAAGTCCTGGAAGTCACTCCCTGCCAAGTCTTACCTATAAGGCTTATGCAGTGGAGGATATTGAAGTGATTCCTCCAGAACTCTCTTGGGGTCAAGTTAGTGTCCAAGGTCACTTCAAAGCACCTTTGAAACACTGCTTTGGTGTAGAGTTTTTTGAAATTAGAAATGACCTGCTGGTCCATGGGCTGGATGAGAGGAGTGGTGTTAGGAGGCATGAACTTCACTGTTATAAAATAGAAGTCCCTAAACAATTGGTCTTCCAAGTCTGGAGGATGAGCAGGAGCAGTGTCCAGTACCAGGAGGCACATGAGTGGCAATTTACATTCCAGGAGGTATTTTTTTCACACTGGGGCCAAACACATCACTGAACCACTCTTTGAAAATGTGCCTTGTGACCCATGCCTTATTATCAGCTTTCCACATCACACACAATCTATTCTTGACGACATTGTTTTTCTTGAACACTCTGGGATTTTCAGAGTGATACACCAGTAAAGACCTCACTTTGAAATCCCCACTAGCATTAGCACAGAACAAAAGATTAAGCCTGTCTTTCATAGGCTTGTGTCCTGGCAGTGCCTTTTCCTCCTGCATAATGTAGGTCCTCTTTTGCATTTTCTTCCAAAAGAGGCCTTTTTCATCACAAATGAACACCTGTTGGGGGAGGAATCCTTCAGCCTCTACATATCTTTTGAATTCCTGCACGAATTTTTCAGCCACACATTTGTCAGAACTTGCAGCCTCCCCATGCCTTACCACACTGTGTATGCCACTTCTTAAAAAATCTCAAACCAGCCTTTGCTGGCAATAATTCACTAAGAGCAGCACTTGATCCAGACATTTTCTTTACAAGATCCAAATGCAACTGCCTTGCAGTCTCACAAATAATCGACTCCACAACACTATCTCCCGCTAATTGTTTTTCGGTGATCCACAACAACAATAACTTCTACATATTTTCCATTATTGGTGACCTTTGTTTCATTAACACATTTACTCCTTTTGCAACCTTAGCTTCCTTGATTTCTACTTTCTTTGCTAGGACAGAAGTGATTGTTGATTTGTTTTTTCCATACATCCTTGCAAGTTCTAGAACTCAAAACACCACTTCTTTCTTAAATTCCATCTTGTTTCTCACTTTCTTTACCAAAGGAACCTTACTAGGAACTTTCTTTGGGGCCATGGTTACTTATTTCGCAGTTGCACTTAATCAATAACCACGAAAAACAATGGATTACAGCGAAATGTTTGGATGAATGAGCAGAAGCTTCCTCACTCGCCCAAAGACAAAGCCAGACTGACACGTGAGCAGCTGGTGGCGGTGGGTTGATGCGTCCCATATGGCCGATAAGCGAAATAATGGCCGATAACCAGAAGCCGAAAAAACGGCTGATAACTGAGTTGGGCAATAAGCAGAACGGCCGATAACCGAGAGTCCACTGTACAGTAGCAAAAATCATGTAAGGCATGGCAACAGAAAAATTGGAAACAAAATGATGAGGACGAAAGTCACATCTACAAAAAGCCTATAACCCAGAAAATGTACAACATACAGTAACATGAGTTAGGGTAATGCTTACTAATTAGTATTACCTGGAGTTTACCTGGAGAGGGTTTGGGGGTCATTGCCCCCATAGCCCAGTCTGAGACCAGGCCTCATGGTGGATCAGGGTCTGATTAACCAAGCTGTTACTGCTGGCCGCATGCAACCTGATGTACGAACCACAGCCCGGTTGATCACGTACTGACTTTAGGTGCCTGTCCAGTGCCTTCTTGAAGACAGCCAGGGGTCTATTGGTAATCCCCCTTATGTATGCTGGGAGGCAATTGAACAGTCTTGGGCCCCGGACACTTACTGTGTTGTCTCTCAGTGTACCCATGGCACCCCTGCTTTTCATCAGGGGAATGTTGCATCTCCTGCCAAGTCTTTTGCTTTCAAAGGGAGTGATTTTCGTTGCAGGTTTGGTACCAATCCCTCCAGGACCTTCCAAGTGTATATTATCATGCATCTCTCTTGCCTGCATTCGAGGGAATTGTGGAGAAATTTTCTCCAGGAGGGGGGTATCAGCCCCCTTCAGCCCCTTTCAGCCCTGAGGGGCCCAGCCCTCTCAGAAGGGGCAAATATCTTGTTTACTGCTACAGCGAGTAATTGATCCCAGATGCAGTACCACTATACGACCTGTGGTCAAGCGACCTTCGCTCCTTGCAGTCCAGTGTTGCAGAGTGTATTTTAATAAGAGACAGTACATCTCTTACCTTAGCAGGACAATTAAGGAAAATCCTGCTCCCACTTTATTACCATGGTAGAGATAGTGTATATTGTTGTCTATGCTTAAGACAGCAAGAATCAAACATTCTGCTTTGCCTCATGGAGGAAGTGGCAAGGAAGCAAAAGTACTAGGTCAGCTTTTCCTTTGTGCTAGGGGAGTAACGGCGTGGGGCGCTGTGGCGTCTTCAGATTACTTTTGACTCTACTGAGAGTGACACTGACTCCAGGATAACTAACAAAGAACGATCTGTGCGTTAGTGTGAACAAAGTGTCTCACAAAACACAATAAACACTTACAGAGAAGTGTGATCAGCTTCTTTAGTGATAAGATTGTGAACAATAAAGACAAATCTTGTGGAACATAGTGTACCAGTGTGCGTATTCCTAGACTATGGAAGACGTGGACATCCAAGGACACTTCAGCTTCTATCAAGTCACCGATACCTGTCGAAGGTGTGAAGAACACCATAGCTCACGCTACAAGAGCAAGGTAGGTTACGAATTTCTTGTAGTACGGGGGACTGCGCAGTTCTTGAGTCGCAAGGAGTTTGTAATCAACCTATAGTCGGCAGTAAGGGGCGGACTTTTGAGTCCACACAAGTAAGTTTGTCCATCAGTGAATGAAATATGCTGACATAACACCCCCTAGGGGTAATTTATAATCTTACAAATTATAACTCTTTACAGCCCGTTGAGAGATGACTTCGACAGCTTCTCAAGACCTCGTCTGCAGGGGCGGCTGTGCAGGCGATGAGCTGTCTTTCTAAGTTAAGTTTCCCTTTAAACTTAGCTGGTAATGCCATTTCTCAACAGGAATACAGATCAAGGACCTTCAACAATTCCCAGTAGTTTAGGTGCCTTATCGTACATAAGTGTGCTGTGAAAGTTATTTGTACATTCTGCAGGACTACAATGTCGCCAGCCTTGAAGGGGGCTATTAGTGTACAGCAGTATTCCAGCCTAGAGAGCACAAGCAATCTGAAGAGAATCATCATGGGCTTGGCATCCCTAGTTGTGAAGGTTCTCATTATCCATCCTATCATTTTCCTAGCGGATGAGGTAGATACATTGTTGTGGTCTTTGAAGATGAGATCCTCTGACATTATCACTCCCAGGTCCTTCACATTACTTTTCTGCTCTATTGTATGGTTAGAATTTGTTGTATACCCTGATACATTTTTTATTTCTTCAAGTTTCGTATATCTGAGTAGTTGAAATTTCTCCTCGTTGAACTTCATATTGTTTTGAGTGGCCCATTTGAAGATTTGGTTGATGTCCGCTTGGAGTCTCACGGTGTCTTCGATGGAGGTCACTACCATGGTAATCCGGGTGTCATCTCTATGTCAGAAATGAGGATGAGGAATAGAATGGGAGCGAGTACTGTGCCTTGTGGAGACGAGTTTTTTACCGTGGCTGCCTGGGACTTGACTCATTTACTATTACTCTTTGTGCTCTATTTGTCAAGAAGTTGTAGATCCATCTACCAACTTTTCCCGGTATACCTTTATCACGCATTTTGTGTGCTATTTTATCACCCAGTATAATTTATATATTTTTAATTATATCAATTATACAAAATTCAGTGAAATGTATTGGAAGTAAACTGTAGTAATCACTAACTTTTAATTTATCTAACAGGAAAACCTGCTTTTCAATAGTTTTAGCAAACACTTAAAATAATTTGCAAATGAATATGACTCAAAGTAACTCTTTGAGATGGTCAGAGAGTTACTTTGTAATTGTAAAAAAATGTTTTGAATAATTTCTCGATGTAAAGCTTTCTTCGAAACTTATATAACCTCTAGGCACGACCTGACTGTATCACTGCTCCACCTCATCTGTCAGCAGTATATTAGTAAGTCCCATCTCTGCTAATATGCTGCACACTAAAATGGTTATAATTATAATTTTAATTTTTAAATGGGTGGCTCGATAAGCCAGCGGAAGGCCCAGGTCAGATGACCAAAATCTCTAGCTATGGGTCATCATATGACTATGACCCAAGTCTGGAAACACCTGTTGTTTCCTGACAAACCTTACCTAACCTAATTAATATACTGCACTTTTATCAAGATTAATGGACTGAGCCCATCGACTCCAAGCTTTGAGACTGATTACCTCAACTCTTTCTTCCACCTCTCTGCAATGGACTGAAGAAGCCACTGGCTGGCGGAACGTTTCCATAATAAAGATACCCAAAACTTGGCCATTTATCAACTTGTCGGTTTTCAAAGAGCTTGTAAAACTTCCTGTACAATAGAAGAGCTTGTATAACTGTCCAGTACAACAAAGAGCCAGTATAATTGTCTAGTACAACAGGAGAGTTTGTAAAACTGTTCAGAAAACAGGGGAAATTCGTAAACGCCAACGCAGAAGTCCTTAGATAAAGTGAACTCCAGACCACAACACCGGCAGATGACCTCCTTCCTGAGTCAACAGGTCTACACTACAACGCAGAGAGGTCCTCACAACATGCATCAGGCTCAAGGAACCTTTATCCACAGCAACGTGAGATATTCAGTCTGCTGAGCTATCATTATTATTATTATATTATTATTATTATTACTAGTAGTAGTAAGTTGGTTTATTAAGTTCAAGTCACAGCACTGACTGTACAAGGGTCATCTGGGCTGGTTTGTACACCACCTGTCATGAACATTTCGTTAGGTAAATGGACATGTATACAACTAATAAATACATTTATGGGGCTTTGTGAGCATAACGCAGCCTCGATATATGTCGAATTAATTGAATATTGTTCCATTTACCTAACAAAACCATTAAATCTTGCCCCCAAAAATAATATTTTAATCCTCAACACAGGGATTAATGTGTATTTAATTACACCTGTATATATATATATATATATATATATATATATATATATATATATATATATATATATATGTATATATATATATATATATATATATATATATATATATATAATGTATATAATTATTATTTTTACTACTACTACTATTATTATTGACATAGCTTCGTCTCACAAAAAATGGATATCAAAATACCTTCAGAAGTAAGAAAATGATTTTAAGAAGGCCTGAGCTTGCTACCACCTGCAGCTCACAAGACTGCCATCCCCACGAGCCCCTTTGGGGCGGGGCAGATGGCAGACCAGAGGCCTAGCTTCTCCCTACGAGCCCCGTGAGGGCAGGGAATGTGGCTTGGCCTGGGGACAGTTGGTCCCAAAGATGAGGGGGTACTTGTACCTCCTCCCATGGGAAACTTAAGTCTCGAGACACTCCCCAGATAGGGAGCCAAGGCCGGGTCACCACTACTTGGAAAAGACCCGGGCCGGGAGAATACCGGCGAATAAAAAAAAAAAAGTGATTGGCAAAAGCACTTCAGAATCTCTAGGAAGTCTTCTTCTGTATCAACATAAGAATAATAAAAAACTCCATGAGTAATCCCTGGCGATTTTGAAAAGATTTTGCCAACCACTTCTACATAGGAGAAGAAGGGTGTTTGGCTTCATTATATTATTATTAACGAAATATTCGATTTACTGTATCCTAGCTGAAGTAATAATAGGATAACTCGTAAATATCGACAAGTTTTCTATGTAAATAATGTGCAATACTTATTGTTTTTTCCTACACATGAGCAGGATGTGAATTATTAAAATGCATTTAATTTTTAACTACGCGCACTTGTGAAAAATTTGTGTATTTGTGCGTCAGTGAGTGATTAACAAGGATCTTACCTGATCAATAAGATGCAAAACTTTAACGTAAGTCCTCTCCGTGTGCAGCAACTCGTGAGCAATCCTGTAAGCTTTGTCCTTACGGGTATCAAGAGCAGCCAGGTCATGGCAGGAGTCGAGGTCACTGGTGGTCAATGAACTATGGTCCTCCAGGTCAGATGGTTCTGTGCTGACAGCCTGGGAAAATGTAGCAAGACCTGAAGCACAGTTAAAACGGGTGAGAGTAACTAGAAAGCCTGGTTGTAGTTAATACCACACGGAGATCTTGCTGTAACCTGCTGTCTTATTGATCTACATTCATTTTCTATCCGGAGAAATATTGCTGAATAAAGTTATACAAAAATGTGCCTTACGTATTATTATTTCATGAGATACAAACATAAGATATTTTTTATCCTTTAATCTTTACTAGTTTAAAAAACAGCTCATTAATATGGAAGCACATCATAACAGTCTTTACAAATAAACCTATTATGATTTTACTACCCTATATTCCGTACAGATTTCACATTCATCAAATACTCTGAGACTGACAAATATAAATTTATTATTTACACACACGTTTAGCGAAGAGAAGGGGCCAGGAGTTGTGACTCGACCACTGCACCCACCCACCAACACACACACACACACACACACACACACACACACACACACACACACACACACACACACACACGAAACCTGGTGAATACAAATGTGAGAACTCATGCATACACACGTGCTGCCCATGGTAAAACAGCGGGCATAGAAAATTCCTGGACACAGTAAACACGAACTTCTTTATACTCATGATGTGAGTCGAAGATAATGAAAAAGGAAACTAGACCTAGCTATCATTCTAAGTGGCTTGGACATAGATATTACAACCCACCAATAATACTGAGAAACATCAGTGCTACTACCTGTTCCACTGTGACTTCACTCAAAGACGTCCCTAGCTCATGTTTCTGTTAGATTAATAAATCTCCTGGAGGGCGAAACGTCTCAAGTTAAAGCTACCCAGGTGTTGCACATGTGTCTCATTCATCACCCAAAAGACAGAAGCTTTCAAGTCATATTGGTAAGACCGGTCCTAGAACACGCAGTACCCAAGTGGTACCCACAAGGCTGGTATGGAATCTAAGTAACGACTGAATGAACTTGAGCTCAACACTGAAAGAATGAAGAAAGAGGGAACCTTTCCAAAATATAGAGGAAACTAAGTGAAATAAACAAAGGGGACACAGAAAGACTGTTAAGCACGGGAAGAAAAGGAATAAGGGGAAAAAAGATGTAAATGAAATACAATTCTAGTGTCAGGGCAGAGGAGTGCGAGATATACAGAAAATGACAAATACAGCTTTAAAAAAAATGATAACACGAGATGCAAACCCATGAACTAAGACGAAAGATACGTAAACTATAATGAATTTTGTAAGCATACACATTCAAGTTGATATTACCTGTGAATTTCTCTTGGACTCTGTGTCCATATCAGAGAGCGGGGAATGTGACCGTGACGTCCTGGAGGGTGAGGGTGGGCGGGAGTGAGGGCGTGGTGTAGTGGGCGTGGTGGGCGTGGTGGTGGTAGGCGCAGCATCCTCCTCATCATCTTCACTCTCAGTTTCACTCACGCCCTCACCAAAAGACTCTCTGAAGAACTGCGTCTCCGTACACACCCTGAGAGCCAAGCGTTGCCTCAATGTTACCATCACTACACTTACTGCCACCTGCCAGCCATTGTACAACACACTATACCGCTATTACTAATAATAAAGATTCTTATCTTTTTTTAAATAAAATACATAGATATTACAAATTTAGCCTACCAGAGGGGGACCACCTCTAGTGTAAATTATGGGGACCAATAGCCTCGCTGAAATAGATTAGGAGGATTCTAGAAAAAAATATTTGGCTTTCTCCCCTAAGCCGTTTGAATATTCCACTTCTACTATATTTTTAATAAATGCACAAATGGGTATATTTTATTTTGTAATATGGTACACAAGACTTGAAGGATACACTGATGGTACAGAGCTGGAGTATACACTATGTGAGGTTTAAGGGATACATTACAAGTACATATTACATGCGTGTCAAAAATTATATTACAAAAATCTCATCCAGCTCCTCAGAGCTGGGGCGCGTACCCAGGATATAACACACAGTACCCCTCTGAACTGCACCACACACTTTTGTCTAGCTTCTTCAGGAACTTGGATGCACTTTTTCCTCATGGGCAGAGGGGTCCCTGAGCCTATGGGGACAAACATAATGATGAAAGTTCACATTTTCTAGACTTCTGGGAGTCCGTAAAGCTGGCACCTGCCCTTCCTTCCTCCCTGCTGTATTAGAGATAGGTATCAGCCATTGTGGTCACACATGTATAGTCCCACAGTATCTGGATAATTGTGGTGGCTCCCTTATTGGTGGGTATCCAGCTGTTGCAAGGCTCCTGATGAAGCATGCCTCGTCATGCCTTGCAATCTTTCTCTCGGTTTTGCAGAAACAAGACCATGGTACTTGAATCAGTCTGCCGATGCACTGCCGGAGATGCACCTGTGTTCGGCGAGGACAGAGGTGCAATGCGCAGGGTGGTATGAGGGTCGAGGAGTGCGCCAAGGGAAGAATTATGAACAGCCAACAGCAAAACTCCCCTGCATGAGGAGCTCTCACTGCCAGGTGAGCTATATCCTTCCCCAACACACAAACACTAATGACACTGTATTGTCCACTACCGGACCATCTCAGTGTGACTGTAGTTGTTTTGAGAAGCAGGTGTGGTTATAGAAAATAAATTAATAAAACAAATTTAAAAACAGATTATGCTCAGTGTTCATGCACACTTACCGAACAATTACAACTAATTTGTCCTGTTTAATGATAAATCTTACCTAACCTAACTAATGAGAGGTATTTAAATACACACAAACACACAAGGTGAATTTGTGCTGATAGGCCTACACTACTTGTGTCAGAGTTATTGTCTATGAAGATTCACATGAACATGAAGGGAAGAGACAGCAACAATAATGGAAAATGTAGAAAGGTTGTTGACAGAAGATAGGGAAAAGGAAGAAAAAAAAAACTTCGCAAAAATGCCCCCAGCGAGCTGGGAGGGACAGAGGATAAGGGTTACAAAAGGAACTGTTAACAAAAGACAATTTGGAAGGTAAAAATGAGAGGAGGAAAGAGGGAGGTCACTGATGATTCATAGATTTCGTGAGACTGATGGTAGGACAAGCAAGGAGAGAGGAGTGGTGGAGGAACGAGAAATCAGAACTATTACTGAAGTAGCAAGAGTGGAGAAGTGCAGCGGGGATCAAATTTTCAGAGAACTGGAAGGTATTGAGGGAGCAAAATATGTCCAGTCAAATTGACCCTTACAATAAAAATAGCACGGGACATAATTATGAGATGGAAACCACGTAAAGCAAATGAAACGATATTGCCATGTGTACCTGAATTGGGACATAACATACTAGGAGAGGAAAAACTGAAGGAGAGACCAAAAAAGGAAGGAAAAAGGTGATAATAGTAGCAAAACTGAGTTATTATGCATAGTGGAAAATGGGACTGAATCTTGGGCAAAGCCCACAACATACCGAGTCCAAAACTCAACCCACTTAAGCATAATAACTCAAACCAAACACAACCTAACTGCCACCCACCCTCACCTGCACCCACGACCTTGATTCCTTCCAGCACAAGAACATGTCCTACAAGTGAATCAAAATGGATTCAAATAATAGCCATTCATATGTCTGGACTACAAGCACTGTATCATGCCAAGAATAAACAGCACTTCCCGCCACCCTGACTGATAACCATTTAGACCATGTCACTCATCCTCTGAGTGAAAATACCATAAGGCAATACCGGAGTGGCATGGATCCTGTCATAGACACTCGTCCTGCGAGTGAGCCTGCCGCCAGTACTAAACAGTGTTATTCACTCCTGCGAGTGAGCCTGCCGCCAGTACTAAACAGTGTTATTCACTCCTGCGAGTGAGCCTGCCGCCAGTACTAAACAGTGTTATTCACTCTTTGGGTAAACATACTGCCTTAGAGACAATAACCCAAAATAGCTAATGCAGCATTTACTATATCAACTCCTCCACTAGCATTTATAATCAATCATACAACTGCAAGAAATTATACATATTTTTTTCAGAATAATGCTCAGAACTTAGCAGTACAATATGCTTATATTGTTTATAAATGCTAGTGACATTAATTATATATTCCCATAATCCTGGACATTCGAAGATACAGTACAAGAGTGTGCATTATCGAAAAAAATACAAAATATAATAATAATAATAATATCTTTATTTACTACAAGTACATGTACAAGGTATACAGTCCTAGCTGACATCAATGACATATTACTATATAGAAAGCCGCTTGTTATGCAGAGCATTTCGGGCAAATTAGGTCAGTTTTGTCCCAGGATGCGACCCACACCAGCCGACTAACATCCAGGTGCCCATTTTACTGATGGGGAACAGACAAACAGTGTAAATAAACACGTCCAATGTTTCTACCCTCGCCGTGTGAAGCGAGAGCTTTAGCCACCAGGCCACGGAGCACCGTAAAAGAAGGAATGAGAAGAATGAACAAGACAAGAAACAATACAATCATACCAGACCTTCATTATTAGAGGTAGACGAGTGTTGCAGTTTGACCTGTGATCCATTACTATTTCCATCCCTGGGTGATTGGCCACACCTCTCTCACCAAGTATGTTTATTCTTTATCTCCTTTACCAATCACGAGCCAGTTATGTTTATTACTTATCTCCACTAATCACGAGTCAATTTTCTTTAACGCATTTATCTACCTGACCAATCACGAACCAACTTATCTTTCCCCGCACTCGTATTTTCGACCAATCAAAGAGGCACTAACCACTCCTAGGTAGCACTGCCATCACCATACATGCCCACTTGTCTCCTCACATTTAGGTTCAGGTTTCCTCTTGTTATGATGTATATTACACGAGCAGAAGAAAATATTTAAGAGATACTGAGAGCCGTCTCTTTACCGCGAGTGATTTCACAATCTGTCACTAACACGGGCAAACATGTGTGCATGCCTGCACACTCGTGCGTACACATACACACTAATACATATATACACAGACGTGCACATACCTGGGAAGAACATTATACAGTTGGGAGGAGGAGTGAGGTGAGGTGCAGTGTAAGATTCAATTTGATGGCTGACCATTACATGTTTGGATCAACAACTGTCTTGCTAAGGGCTTAGTTAACTGAAAAGTAGTGATGAACCATACCCCCGGCCGGGATTGAACCCGCGGTCATAGAGTCTCAAAACTCCAGCCCGTCGCGTTAGCCACTAGACCAGCTAGCCACAATAAGATTCATCCAACTAGGTATATTTCTACACCATAGGAAGGTTAGCACAGGCACCTCTGTGACCACAAATGCAAGTTTTTACAGACGAATCTCCAGCTAGCGTGGCCGTGACGAACTCTAGCTCTAGTTGGATGAATCTTATTGTGGCTAGCTGGTCTAGTGGCTAACGCGACGGGCTGGAGTTTTGAGACTCTATGACCGCGGGTTCAATCCCGGCCGGGGGTATGGTTTATTTGCAATCGTGTCATTACGATTTCTTGAGTCATGTTGACGGCAGTGAAGGGACTTGAGCTAAAGTTCGTCACGGCCACTCTAGCTGGAGATTCGTCTGTAAAAACTTGCATTTGTGGTCACAGAGGTGCCTGTGCTAACCTTCCTATGGTGTAGAAATATACCTAGTTGGATGAATCTTATTGTGGCTAGCTGGTCTAGTGGCTAATGCGACGGGCTGGAGTTTTGAGACTCTATGACCGCGGGTTCAATCCCGGCCGGGGGTATGGTTCATTTGCAGTCGTGTCATTACGATTTCTTGAGTCAAGTAGTGATGAAGGCAGTTTCTAAAAACGTCCTCTTGAATGTATCATCCTTTTTAATGAAGTCGATAAACAAAAAAGAAGTGATGGAGGCGCATTCGACACACGACTTTACCAATATGAGGTTAGGAGAAAAAAAGTCGAGTTATTTGATGAGTACTTTGACCGGTGAGAACACACTACCATCCTATGGAGAGGGAGCATGGACACGGGGGTCGTCCCACAGTTACTAAAAAACAACAGACAGCCCCACTCCACAAAGGGGGCAGTAAAGCAACAGCAAAGAATTACAGACCGATATCACTAACATCCCATATCATAAAAATCTTTGAAAGAGTCCTAAGAAGCAAGATCACCACCCATCTAGAAACCCATCACTTACACAACCCAGGGCAACATGGGTTTAGAACAGGTCGCTCCTGTCTGTCTCAACTATTGGATCACTACGACAAGGTCCTAGATGCACTAGAAGACAAAAAGAATGCAGATGTAATATATACAGACTTTGCAAAAGCCTTCGACAAGTGTGACCATAGCGTAATAGCGCACAAAATGCGTGCTAAAGGAATAACAGGAAAAGTCGGTCGATGGATCTATAATTTCCTCACTAACAGAACACAGAGAGTAGTAGTCAACAGAGGCAGGCACGGTGAAAAGCTCTGTTCCACAAGGCACAGTACTCGCTCCCATCTTGTTCCTCATCCTCATATCTGACATAGACAAGGATGTCAGCCACAGCACCGTGTCTTCCTTTGTAGATGACACCCGAATCTGCATGACAGTGTCTTCCATTGCAGACACTGCAAGGCTCCAGGCGGACATCAACCAAATCTTTCAGTGGGCTGCAGAAAACAATATGAAGTTCAACGATGAGAAATTTCAATTACTCAGATATGGTAAACATGAGAAAATTAAATCTTCATCAGAGTACAAAACAAATTCTGGCCACAAAATAGAGCAAAACACCAACGTCAAAGACCTGGGAGTGATCATGTCGAAGGATCTCACCTTCAAGGACCATAACATTGTATCGATCGCATCTGCTAGAAAAATGACAGGATGGATAATGAGAACCTTCAAAACGAGAGATGCCAAGCCCATGATGACACTCTTCAGGTCACTTGTTCTATCTAGGCTGGAATATTGCTGCACACTAACAGCACCTTTCAAGGCAGGTGAAATTGCTGACCTAGAAAATGTACATTATTATTATTAAAGATTAGCCGGTATTCTCCCGGCCCGGGCCTTTTCCAAGTGGTGGCCCGGCCTTGGCTCCCTCTTTAGGGAGTGTCTGAGACCTAAGTCTCCCATGGGAGGAGGCACAAGTACCTCCTCATCTTTGGGACCAACTGTCCCCAGGCCTAGCCACAAGCTAGGCCTCTCTGGTCTGCCATCCCCGCCCCAAGGGGGCAAATGGGAATGACAGTCTTATGAGCTAAAGGCTCGGGCTCAGGCACCTACCCTACCCTAGAAGGGTTAGGCATTGTGTCGATCAGAAAATGTACAGAGAACCTTCACGGCGCGCATAACGGAGATAAAACACCTCAATTACTGGGAGGGCTTGAGGTTCCTGAACCTGTATTCCCTGGAACGCAGGCGGGAGAGATACATGATTATATACACCTGGAAAATCCTAGAGGGACTAGTACCGAACTTGCACACGAAAATCACTCACTACGAAAGCAAAAGACTTGGCAGACGATGCAACATCCCCCCAATGAAAAGCAGGTGTGTCACTAGCACGTTAAGAGACCATACAATAAGTGTCAGGGGCCCGAGACTGTTCAACTGCCTCCCAGCATACATAAGGGGGATTACCAACAGACCCCTGGCAGTCTTCAAGCTGGCACTGGACAAGCACCTAAAGTCGGTTCCTGATCAGCCGGGCTGTGGCTCGTACGTTGGTTTGCGTGCAGCCAGCAGTAACAGCCTGGTTGATCAGGCTCTGATTCACCAGGAGGCCTGGTCACAGACCGGGCCGCGGGGGCGTTGACCCCCGGAACTCTCTCCAGGTAAACTCCAGGTCCAGGTAAACTCGATGCTTTCTGCAATAATAAGTCAACACAAAGTAACAAAAACGCTTTAGGTAAAACGACGCAGCAAAAATAAACTAGCGTGAACATGCAAAATCAGTAAATACTACCACACTAGCACAAGTTAAAAGCTTACTAAACTGTTAACATCAAAAGATTCTCATAAAATATCTCCAAGGTCCCTACAGGCACCCCAGTAATTATACAAACCAGGATTTAAATTAAAATGCCGAAGCTGTTGGTAAACATTTATAATTTGTTCCACAGTCATCAGCAAGACACAAGATACCCAAAACTGGACAGATCGCTATGAGGGGGCATTGTGTGCCAAATCCTCACTCTAGAGACAACCATCTCATAGCAACGATTTATGCTGAAGGAGGGTCAAATACCAGTGTCCTGTCGAACTCTGTATACCGTGTTGCTCGTCTGTAAGGCCCACCACCGTGAGGAAGAAGTCTAACTGATGATACTGCTGGCGGCTCTGGTGGTTCTAGGGTTTGTGTTCGTCTTAGTGAAGCTGATGGTGGTACTGTTGCTGTCAGTGTTGATTCTGGTACAAATCTAGTAAGTACACCAGTTGTAAACTTGATCCCAAAAACCACAGCCAAAAGGAAACGATGTGCAAATTCTATTCCTGGGGCATCTGCAAACATGGCCCTCTGGGATAAATAAAAAGCCTGCATATATAACCATCTAAATAAATGTAAAAAATCTCTTGAATGAAGGCACATGCTACTCCAGGTCCAACAAACTCTTTCAGCCAAAACTGTCATAGTTCAGAAATACGGGATGCCATGATTCAAACTGTGCGGGATTCAGCACGAAGGGAACGAAGTGTATAAAGCCTCACAAACGCCAAATCGAACAAACAAATTCGAATCATCCCGCTAACAATTCTTTTCTAGTGTCAAGCAGTGGAAAAGACTAGCGAAAAAAATGCTAAGAATGTGCCATCAATTTTGAGCCAAGTTGGACTGGAATCAAAGTAGTGGTGGACTCATCATCATCAGAGGAACAAGTACTGAGTCCAACCAATAAGCCTCCCAGCACAAACGCCAGCCATCTATCATCTTGTGTATTTGCAAACGTAAAAAGTCTCAAACCGAGAACGATAAAAGAAAGCATATCTGTGGTTTCCTCGCTGAGTCAAGTGCAATGTTTGCTGCTCTTATCGAGATTCGCGTGAAAGGATATTTAATAACGAAATACGGATTCCCGGGTATAGCCTATTCATAAAGATGAGCTCAGAGAAATGACAACAAGGGAGGGTTGGTCTGTGTGTTCAAATGTCGCTCATATATACTGAATTACTGAGCATCACAATGATGTAGTCAAAGTTTTGAGGATCAAAATCGAAAAATCAGAAGAGTTGTTGCGCTTGTATATAAACCACCGGATATAACTTCCCAGCAGTTCAAAGACTGGCTACTGAAGATCGAGATCTATCTTGAAAACCTTGTTGCTTGGTGACTTTGACACATCTTAAATGGAAGAATGTTGCAAGGACTTTAATAGCCGAGTCCCTGGAGCTAGTTTGGAAGAACACACTCGCACATCAAAATTAAATTCACCTTTAGTCAGCACATTGCAGATCCGACCAGACTGGTATATACGTGGACCTGATCCAAGATATAATGGCATCGAAGACTGCAATCTCAGACCACAACATAAACGAAGTCCTGCGTGCACGGTGGCCTGGGCCAGAGAAACCCAATCATGCGGTCGAATTCAACAAATTCAATTTCAACCAGAAGAATATAAACTGGGACCAAATAAATAGAGAACTTAATGAAATACGCTGGGAAGACTGTGTCTACCGTGAATCTGAACCACTTCCTCGGGAGGATTAGCTCACTGGCGCTCGAGGTATGTTCCACACAGAGAGAGAGAGAGAGAGAGAGAGAGAGAGAGAGAGAGAGAGAGAGAGAGAGAGAGAGAGAGAGAGAGAGAGAGAGAGAGAGAGAGAGAGAGAGAATGCTCCCTATACAGGCAAAGATGATGGGTACTAAACCTTCTCAAGCACAAGCAGAAACTCTGGTCAGGGAAATAGAGAACATCGAGCACAGACTGACTGCATTATACTAAGTCCAGGATAGACAACGAGAGCACAGAATCATAAAATAAATTAGGAGAAAACCCAAATACTTCTCGTACGCAAAATCCAGGGTGAAAACCACATCCAGTATAGGACCCTGACTCAAAGGAGATTGAACATACACTGATGGCAATAAGGAAATGAATGAAATAATTAATTAACAATAGGACTCTGTTCAGTAAAGCATTCATCAAACGACCCAAGTGGGTTTCATGAAACTAATAACGAAACACAAATAACCCGCACATAAAAGAGAGAAGCTTACGACGACGTTTCGGTCCAACTTGGACCATTGACAAAGTCACACTCAGTGTGACTTTGTCAATGGTCCAAGTCGGACCGAAACGTCGTCGTAAGCTTCTCTCTTTTATGTGCGGGTTATTTGTGTATCGTTCCAGTCACAGTATTGTGCCTTTTTTTGTTATTTAACTAATAACGAAGCTGACATCTCCACAATTTCTGATGCAGCTTTATCCTCAGATGACTTTCAAGAAGCCATTGATAGCATGTTCATGCATTCTGCGTGAGGTAAGTGTCCCGAGGCTTGGTAGGCAACGCTCTCACTTCACACCGTGTCAGTGGTTCGATCCCCGGCACAAGTGGAAACACTGGGCGTGTTTCTTTACACCTGTGTCCCCGTTCACCTAGCAAGCAAGTAGGTACCTGGGTGTAAGTCGACTGATGTGTGTCGCATCCTGAGGGAAAAGATTGGTGACCCCAATAGTAATAAGACAGACAGTCCCTCGATGACGCACTGCCTTTCTTGGGTCATCCTGGGTGGCTAACCTTTCAGGGTTAAAAATCCGTACAAAATCTTATTTCACAAGCGTAGAACTCCATCTTCATCAAAAATGATAAAACACCACTGTCTCAGGCTTTAAATATTTTGAGCAGCAGCAGCCTGGACACGGGTAGCACCCAGTGTCAGTAAAGCAATCGCAATAACTACACAATCCAGGTCAGCATCTCTTTAGAGCCGGTACGTCCTGTTTATCATAACTGTTATATACCATTGGATATGCTGGCAGACAAGCTAAATGCTGACTTAGTGTACAATAATTTTGCAAAAGCCTTCGAAAGAGCGACCATGGTGTGACAGCACACAAAATGTGTAAAAAGGGAATAACTAGAAGAGTGGGTAGTAGCAGTAATCAGTAGTAGTGATAGTAAACAGTGAAGTCAAAGGCTGCCACAGTGAAAACCTGTGTTCCCAAAGGAAGCGTTGGGACACTTGTATTTTTCATTCTTATATGTAACACAGTAGACAAATAACCTGTACTTAAAAGAGGAAACTGAGGACGTTTCGGCTCGTCTTGGACCACTGTCAAGTCAATGATCAAAGATGGACCAAAACGTCGTAATAAGTTACTTCTCCTAAGTGCAGGTTATTTGTGTACTGTTCCAGCTACCGTATTACGACTTTTTACTCTATGCGACACAGAGGATACAAATCATAACACCGTAACATCTTTTACTGATGATAACAGAATTTCTGTGAGAGTGACGTCCGTCGAAGACACAGTGAATCTTCAAGCTGATAAAAGAAAATGGAGTCTTCCAGCGGGCTTAAGACAATAATATAATACTGAATGAGAACAAGATTTCAGTTGCTCCGTTATGGAAGAATGGAGGGAGATAACAGCAACGGACCACAAGACAATCTTGAATCATTTAACAGAAGGAAAGTTCCATGTGTGAGAGAGATGGGGGAAGAGGGTGACTACGTCAGAGGATCTCACATTTAAGATTTGCAAGAATGTTGCTCTCCCTACCGCTAGGAAATACTGTGTAGGCGAAACGTTTCAGCAATAAAGATACCCAACTGTTGCAATGCGTCTTATCATCAACTTGTCGGTATTTTATACCGTTTTCAACGATCACTGCAAGTGCTGACACCGGCAGCAAAGACTTCAGCGTCACCGACGTCATCACCACCAACGTATCACTATCAGCAGCAGTATCACCAAACAATACACAAATAACCCGCACATAGGAAAGAGAGGCTTATGACGAGTTTTCGGTCCGACTATTTATTTATTTATTTAGTTAATTTTTTATTTGGACATGATAAATTGTTGTACAAAGAAATATACTGATTGGGTGTACATGCCAAAAGCCCCTTGTTTGCAGAGCATTATGGGCAGCTTAAAATTAACTTGAGATTAACTAAGCAATGATATATTCAGTGGTAAAAATTACAGTAAACAAATTACAACATGAAGTACAAATGAGTATTTCTAATAAGAAGCATTGAAGTTGTACAAATCTATAGCATAACAATGTATAATATAATCGAATCAGATCGAGTAAAATCAATGATTTGTAGTACAGAAACAGGTCATATGGTTATTAGACGAGTTACTGTGTATTCAAGAGAATGGAGTATTATATTAGATAATGTAATTAAAAAAACAGTTTGATAGGGTCACAGGTTATACATTTATGAGATACAGTTATTCAATATTTATTTAGTTGTGGTTGAGTAAGTGGTTTTTAAGAAGAGTCTTGAATTGATAAACAGACAATATTTCTTTTATATTCACAGGTAATGAATTCCAGATTTTAGGGCCTTTTATGTGAATTGAGTTTTTACATAGTGAGAGATGGACACGGGGAACATCAAAGAGTAATCTGTGCCTTGTGTTATGGTCATGTGTTCTGTTGAGGTTGGTAAGGAGACGTTTGAGGGATCCAAGTTTAGTGTTCTATGTATGTGAGGGATCCAAGTTTAGTGTTCTATGTATGTCGTAGGCACAATAATAAGTATGGATGTTTTGTACGGTGAGTAAGTTTAGAGTTTTGAATATTGGTGGAGTATGCTGCCTGGAATGGGAATTTGTTATTCTGACTGCAGCCTTCTGTTGGGTAATTAATGGTCTGAGATGATTTATTGTTGTTGAGCAACATGCACAAATTCCATAGGTGAGATAGGAGTAAATGAGTGAGTGATATAGGGCCAGGAGGGCTGACTGTGGAACATAGTACCGTATCTTCGATAGTATGCCTACGGTCTTGGAGATTTTCTTGGAAATTTGTTGTACATGTGTTTGAAATTTGAGTCTATTATCAAGGTGGATTCCTAAGAATTTTCCCTCTGTGAGCTTTGCGATAGGTGATCCGTTTATCATTATGTTAAGAGGAACATCTGTAGTTCTGTTCCAAAACTGAATGTAGTAGGTTTTGTCAATATTGAGAGTAAGTTTGTTAATCATCCAGGTAGATATTTTCTGTAATTTGGTATTTACAGTATTGGCCAGTATGACTGGGCTTGGATGAAAGAAGACGTATGTAGTGTCATCTGCAAATAGTGTGGGTTTGAGTAGTTACGATGCATTTGGTAGGTCGTTTATGTAAATGAGAAAGAGAAGAGGGCCAAGGACACTTCCCTGTGGGACACCAACTGTAACTGTTTGTGTGGAAGAGTTTGCTCCATTTGTGTACACATATTGGCTTCTGTTGCTAAGGTATGGCCATTAACAACTCACACTAGTGTGACTTGTAAATGGTCCAAGTTGGACCGAAACGTCGTCATAAGCTCCTCTCTCCTATGTGGTTATTTGTGTACTGTTCCAGTCACGGTATTGTGCCGTTTTGTTCTTTAAGCACCAGAGATGAAAGCCTCAACATCCCGAAGCCAGGGACAGCACCACATAGCAGCGGCAACACCAGCATTCACAAAGTCTGCTGGAATCCCCCAACTACCTGATGCGTCTTATTCAACAACAGTTTCTCAAGGGTCCACAAGTCTGTCAAAGCCGCTGCAGCTGTGCAAAGTTTGTAGAGGGAGATGAGGAGAGGATGTTGCTTCAGTGAGGGAGATGAGAGGATGTTGCTCCAGTGAGGGAGATGAGAGGAGGTTGATCCAGTGAGGGAGATGAGGGTAGGATATTGCTCCAGTGAGGGAGATGAGGGTAGGATGTTGATCCAGTGAGGGAGATGAGGGTAGGATGTTGCTCCAGTGAGGGAGATGAGGGGAGGATGTTGCTCCAGTGAGGGAGATGAGAGGATGTTGCTCTAGTGAGGGAGATGAGGGTAGGATGTTGATCCAGTGAGGGAGATGAGGGTAGGATGTTGATCCAGTGAGGGAGATGAGGGTAGGATGTTGATCCAGTGAGGGAGATGAGGGTAGGATGTTGCTCCAGTGAGGGAGATGAGAGGATGTTGCTCCAGTGAGGGAGATGAGAGGATGTTGCTCCAGTGAGGGAGATGAGGGGAGGATGTTGCTCCAGTGAGGGAGATGAGGGGAGGATGTTGCTCCAGTGAGGGAGATGAGGGGAGGATGTTGCTCCAGTGAGGGAGATGAGGGGAGGATGTTGCTCCAGTGAGGGAGATGAGAGGATGTTGCTCCAGTGAGGGAGATCAGGGGAGGATGTTGCTCCAGTGAGGGAGATGAGGGGAGGATGTTGCTCCAGTGAGGGAGATGAGAGGAGGTTGATCCAGTGAGGGAGATGAGGGTAGGATATTGCTCCAGTGAGGGAGATGAGGGTAGGATGTTGATCCAGTGAGGGAGATGAGGGTAGGATGTTGCTCCAGTGAGGGAGATGAGGGGAGGATGTTGCTCCAGTGAGGGAGATGAGAGGATGTTGCTCCAGTGAGGGAGATGAGGGGAGGATGTTGCTCCAGTGAAGGAGATGAGAGGAGGATGTTGCTCCACTGATGGAGATGAGGGGAGGATGTTGCTCCAGTGAAGATGAGGGGAGGATGTTGCTCCACTGATGGAGATGAGGGGAGGATGTTGCTCCAGTGAGGGAGATGAGGGGAGGATGTTGCTCCAGTGAAGATGAGGGGAGGATGTTGCTCCAGTGATGGAGATGAGGGGAGGATGTTGCTCCAGTGAAGGAGATGAGGGGAGGATGTTGCTCCAGTGAGGGAGATGAGGGGAGGATGTTGCTCCAGTGAGGGAGATGAGGGGAGGATGTTGCTCCAGTGAGGGAGATGACGGGAGGATCCTGCTCCACTGAGGGAGATGCTATTAGCATTGCGCCTGAACTTAACCCCAGGTTGTGCCCAGCAACAGCCAACTAATACCCACGTACCTATTCACTAGTGAAGGACCACTGGGCTGCATGGGTATGGTGACTAGACTCACGAAATCATAACAACACGAGAACAAACCACCCGTTTAGTGATTTATGTTGATTTACCCACACGTCTTGCCCAGCCACTAGGGAGCTAGGTGAGTACAAGTTGGTACCTTGTCTATCTTTCACTACCAGACAGAGGATCGAGCATCCACCGTTCCAAGGGTTTAGCTCTTCACGTAACTCTAATAACAATAATAATGAAGCCTCGTAACCTAAAATTAATTTGCACAATTCGTTCGTGCCTCCATTATTTTTAATTCCTCCATCGATTCTGCGCCCACTGTCTCTATTCTTAACTCCATTTTTTTGCACCAGCCTCACACTGAAAAAAAAATTCATCTAACAGGGAAGTTTGCATAGTGAACAACCGGCATGTTTCTTGTGCACGCTAAACCAGCAAGTGAAAGCCACACTTTTACAACAGTAAAAAAAAAAACAAAGCGATATAAGATGCAGAACAACCTCGGGGGGAGTTGAATGATAGCTCTAGGCATTTCGTGTTGCAATCAACACATCAGGAGCTTGCAGTGTTGCCCAAAAGAGGATAAAGTCCCAGCAAACGCGTTCAGAGGAAACGTTTTCCCAAAACGCTTCCTCTGAACGTGTTTGCTGGGACTTTATCCTCTTTACTGCAACACTGCAAGCGACTGATGTGTTGATTGCAACACGAAATGCCTAGAGCTATCATTTAACTCCCCCTGGTAGTAGTTTTGTGTGTGTGTGTGTGTGTATGTGTGTGTGTGTGTGTGTGTGTGTGTGTGTGTGTGTGTGTGTGTGTGTGTATGTATGTATGTATGCATGTATGCATGTATGTATGTATGCATGCATGTATGTATGCATGCATGCATGTATGTATGCATGTATGCATGCATGTATGTATGCATGTATGTATGCATGCATGTATGTATGCATGCATGTATGTATGTATGCATGCATGTATGCATGCATGTATGCATGCATATATATATATATATATATATATATATATATATATATATATATATATATATATATATATATATATCGTGTGGGTTTAGTTGCTGACATTTTTTTGACATACTTCAATTTTTATCTAAAATATGTAGATTATCATACTTTTAATATAAAATAATTTACGATTTTTCGGACTATTTTTTCCGTACCACTAAAAATTAAAATATGTTGACTAAAAATCCATCATTTTACCGTCAGAATGCTAAATCGCTTTGATTTTATTGCACACTCCATTTGATTTTTGTTTTAAATAAGTGAAACATTAAAAAATCACTAAGAACAATGAGGTGAAGTTGCATAACAACTTTCAACCACAACAACAGGGATATACAAGACTTCATTCATATTCACACAATACTGGAAGTTTGAGTCACTCAAAACAACCAACCTTTCACTCATAATCTGGCAGTATTTCAGTGTTTGTGTAAGGAAAATGTCAGGATAAACAGTGACGCTAAAGGATATGTCAACTAAACAAAGCCAGCACAGGAAACTCACATTTAGGAGACTTCTTCACGCCCACCAGTGAACTGAGGAACGTTATCTCCCTCTTACTTGATGAATTAGACACTTGTGCAACACTTGGGTCTATTTATTTTGGAAACGTCTCGCTATACAGTGGTTTTATCAGTCCAATATAAAGAAGAATGGTGAGGATCAGTAGTAGTTTGAGGTAATCAGTCCCTCAGACAGGAATCTATATAATTAGCCCATTAACCTTTTCAATCTTTTCAAGACCGATGGACTGATTACATCGATTCCAGGTTGAGGGATTGCCTTAAACTCCTTCTGAACTTCACCATTCTTCTTTGTATTGGACTGATCAAGCCACCGTGTAGCGAAACGCTTCCACAAAGATACCCAAGTGCTGCACCTGTGTAATTTATCAACATGTCGGTTCTCTGAACCATTTATCTACAACTCCCTGTTACTGCTACATTACTTCTTCCCCATCAAGAAACTACCTATCATTACCTTACTACTCACTTTCTTAATGGTGCTACACATTCTCTTATTACATTAGCCTCCCGATATAGTACTTTTCTGCTGCTTTATTATGTAGCAGTAAGTCAATGTATGATGGAAGTACCTGAAAGAACACATAACTCTGGTATGTGTGTCAAGCATTAGGAATAATAATAGGAGAGAAATAATGAATCTTAATGTCATAGGAATGTACTTAGAAGCTTGAGGAGATCTATGACTCACACTGATAACACGAACGTAGATAAGCATATTACGGAGCAACTGACAATATGAATAGACGAATGTAGTAGCCACGATTAGGTCTTGTTACATCTTGTAGTCTGGCATATACACAGATGATCAAAAATAAATGTCAAGTATGTAGTAAGCCTTATGGTAAATTTCTTGAACATTATGTACTTGACTGTCCACTTACTGGGAAATAGAGAGGTAATACAATACGATGATAGGGAAGCTGAGGTTATCCAGACCAGCTTCAGTACCACAGGTACACACGCACCCTGGGTCACACGCACACCGGTACCTAACACAGTTCTTCATAACTAACTCATGTTGGAGATATTTACGACGTTTCGGTCTATCATGGACAATTATAAGAGCTGGTATAAAATATCAAAATATTGACAATGGTGAAATAAGAGAAATGAAGAAGCCATTCGTGGTCAAACGTTTCCTCATTAAAATATCCTAACACAACACACGTTTCTTATTTCACAATTATCAAGTCACTCATAAGAACATAAGAAAGGAGGAACACTGCAGCAGGCCTATTGGCCCATACTAGGCAAGTCCTTCACAAATCCATCCCACTAATAGGATATTTGCCCTCACCTCATAATTTGATAAATTACAGGACGGGTCGGATTGTCGTCCTATTTTATCTGCAGTATGTGGATTAGTTGTGAATTGTGCTAGACACTGTATTGTGATTATTCCTCTAGATCAAGCATGCTATCATAAACTTGAAACTTTAACTGGTTCCCACAACATCAAAAACTAGCCCAGACCTGCTACCACCAGCCCAGGAACTACTCTAGCTGGTTCCCACCATCGCGATACCTACCCCAATCCGATGATGACGGTCCTTGGACGGGTGACAGAGTAGCGGTAAATGGAGTTGATGGAGTCCGAATAGCGGTAGAGGGAGGCAGTCTGCCCTCTGGACTTCGACCTCAGTATCACGATGTCTCCCACTTCGTCCTCTACTTCGGTGTCGCTGCCGTCGGTCTCTCCAGACTCGCTCTTCAAATCTTCATCCTGAGTTTCATCGTTATCATTATTATCTACGTTCTCTTCTTCGAGGAGCGTGGCTGTGTCGTCACTATCAACAGTTTTGCTGGAGAGACTGCTGCGAATGCTCTTCTTTCTCAATAACTTCTCCCCCTCCTCTATCTCCTTTTTGAGAGAGATTTGTCTCTCAATCTGGGAGACCCTTTTCTTTACCCATCCAGTGCCAAAACAAATTTCATCTTCCTCAGAACCTTCGGCGGTATTGTTGTCACTCTGCCGTGGCCACTCTCCTCTCTCGTCTTCATCTTCGTCCGCCTCAAAAAACACTTCGTCATTGTAATCTTCTTTGTCGGTAAAACACAAAGAATTTGAGTTCTCTAATTCTGTTTTTGATGTTTCATATTCATTGGGATGTGTTTCATGGCATATTGTGTGTGTTGTCTCTCTCCCGTCATTTTCCGTGCATACCTCATTAATGAGTGTTATTCCTGATCCATCTTTATCTTTATTAACATTTTCCTCAGTACCACTTCCTCTTGTCCAGTTTCTCTCAGCGTCAACATCTCTGGACGCCTCTTTAGTGTCCACCAGACTCACTTCTCTCTCGTCCCCACCAGGCTGGATTTCTTCCTCTCTTCCTTCCTCTTCCTTTCCCTCATCCTCTCTTTTCAAGGGTGTAGGATCACTCGATTTCCTCCAAGGATGTTTGAAGATGTAGGAGGCAAGGAAGCGACTGAAGGAGAAGATGGGTTTGGACTTTCTCAAAGATATCCTAGAGAAAAGTTGGCTGACTCTGGTGATGTTGGCAGAGGTGGGTTTACTCCTGCTGACAGGGGAGAAGGAAAAGGCTCGACCCACCTGACTGCGACTGCCTGCTGGTTCCTTCGTGCCAGCTGTCCATGGCTTTGCTTCTTCAGTCTCGCTGCCTTCAGACTTGTTCCTCTTTTGCTTGAAGCGTCTCCCCCGTTGGTTATGACCGGTCATATCATCACCAAGATGGGGACAGCAAAGGAGAATTCCCGTCTCTTTGTTGTGCCGTCGGCTGTAACTGCCATCGATCTTCTTGCTGTCTTCTATTATGCTGTTTATTCTCCCGTCACTTCCTCCGATTTTCCAGTAACTTTTTCCGAGTTTCCCGTCGCTTCCTCCGAGTTTCCCGTCACTTCCTCTGAGTTTCCCGTCGGTTCCTCCGAGTTTCCCGTCACTTCCTCCGAGTTTTCGGTCACCTTTTCCGATTTTCCCGTTACTTGGTGTAGACTGGATGATGGTGGCTCCAGGTCTTCCACCGCTGCTCCCAAACATCCTGAAGCTGCTGCTGATTTTTCTGAGGCTGCCTCCGATCCTCCAGCCACGACCTCCCATGTTTCCAGCACCACCTCCAGTGTTTTTAACACAACCCCCAATGTTTCCAACACTGCCTCCAATGTTTCCAACACTGCCTCCAATATTCCCAACACTGCCTCCAATATTCCCAACACTGCCTCCAATATTCCCAACACTGCCTCCAATATTCCCAACACTGCCTCCAATATTCCCAACACTGCCTCCAATATTCCCAACACTGCCTCCAATATTTCCAACACTGCCTCCAATATTCCCAACACTGCCTCCAATATTTCCAACACTGCCTCCAATATTTCCAACACTGCCTCCAATATTTCCATCACTACTTCCAATCTTTCCAACACTGCCGGCGAAGTCTGTGACATCTTCAATATTTTCATCACTACCTCCTTTGCTCTCAACATCGCCTGTAATACTATCAACATCACATCCAACAGTTACAGCCTCTGCTACCTCCACGTCTCTCTCGCTGCTGCTAGTTCTACCACTGTTATTTTCACCACTGCTAAAATCAAAACACTGATATTTACACAGTGGCTTACCTGTGACTGGCTGACACTCGTCACGGTGTTTATAGTCAGCGTTATTTTCACCGCTAAATGGAATTCCTCCGCTCAAAATTCTGTTAATGGGATTATTACTTAATGTACCGGTACCACAACTGGCGTTACTACTGGTGCTACTAGTACTGGTATTACTTCCAGAACCAGTACTGGTTCCACTAGTGGTACTATTGGTATTACTACCAGAACCAGTAGTGGTTCCACTAGTGGTATTACCAGAACCAGTAGAGGTTCCACTAGTGGTACTACTGGTATTACTACCAGAACCAGTGGTGGTTCCACTAGTGGTACTACTGGTATTACTACCAGAACCAGTGGTGGTTCCACTAGTGGTACTACTGGTATTACTACCAGAACCAGTGGTGGTTCCACTAGTGGTACTACTGGTATTACTACCAGAACCAGTAGTGGTTCCACTAGTGGTACTACTGGTGTTACTACCAGAACCAGTAGTGGTTCCACTAGTGGTACTACTGGTATTACCAGAACCAGTAGAGGTTCCACTAGTGGTACTACTGGTATTACCAGAACCAGTAGAGGTTCCACTAGTGGTACTACTGGTATTACCAGAGCCAGTAGAGGTTCCACTAGTGGTACTACTGGTATTACTACCAGAACCAGTAGTGGTTCCACTAGTGGTACTACTGGTATTACTACCAGAACCAGTGTTGCTCTGTAATGCATATTCAGCGATTTTTTGATAAGGATTTTTCCGCATCTCTGTCTTGCACTGAACTGAAGAGAAGTTTTTGGTGTTAATTCCGAGATCTGGAGCTTTACTCGAGTCAATCTCTGGAGCTGGAGCTTTACTTACGTCAAGCCCGGGAGCTGGAGCTTGCACTGTTGCCTCGCCACAACCTGAAAACAGGTCGCTACACAAGCTCAAACTTCCCTTCTCCAGGAAGGCTGCCAAACTGTCAACAGGCTTGGACCAGTGTGGCTGGACCAAGAGCTGCTTCCCAAGACCCTCCGGTTTGCCGGGTTCAGACGTCACGTTACCTGCTCCCTGCATGCCGACTACCACAAGTATCAAACTGTGTAAATCGTTATTAATTTCTTAGGGAAGCCTTGGAGTCATGCTAGTTCCAAGCATGGTTAACCAGGTGGCACTGTCACGCCTTTATGCCTAGAGCCCGATGACACCGTGTTTTCCCCGGCCCTCTTCCATGGGGTCATCGTGGGTTATAACATACTCTCGTAGCATATACACGTAAAGTACTGTCACCCACAACTAGCCTACACTTTAGCGAGGAGCCTTCAGAGTGTTTCGGTCATTCCTGGTCCATTATCAATTCACGAATGTTTGCATCTGTTTCTATAAAAGTAACATTTCCTCTTTGCATTTTAAGCAGTTTTAATTTATTAGCATCTTTACGTTCCGGGAATGTGTGTTTGTTATTACAGATGCCAGGGGTGAATCACCTGCCATAGTAACAATAATGGGAGCATAGCAGGCAACATGCATGTGTTGATATAGACGATGGTGTGCACTAACAATGAACTAATGTAGCTGTTGTTATTGCTATGATGAGAGTGAACCAGTGGGGTTCATTGGTTTGAGTGGGACATGTAGTAGCTTGGATCAGTATGCCTACTGCAGTGCTCCTATTTTCTTACAAGTGTTACCGTTGGTTATTGCGGAGGCATTCTTTATACGCAGATGAACAAGCACAATGGATGCTGAGTCAGTGGCTCGTGCTTCCGTGGGAGAGTTTCCACCTCCCGCGATGTTTACTTCAACTAAGCTCATCCTATCATCCTCGTCTTCCATCTCACTTCCGGGATACTTATCACAATAATGTTTTAATTCCGCAGCTTCCGCCCAAAATGGAGCGCAGCTACTTTTAAAAATGTAGATAAAACCGGTTCCATAAACACGTACCATCTGTGAGATGTGATAACGAACTAATTTTCACTATTTTACCATAAAGGACGATATATATGTTACAACCATCACAACACCTGCAATTAATGTAAAACACACAAGTTTTTTGTTGGGCAAATAATCCGATTCGACTGTATTAAAATCCACGAATAAGTCAACCAGCAGAGTCAGCTAGGAGTGCAGAGAGTTCTCAGTTAACGAAGTAACAAATAATCTTGTTTCCAAGATTTAGCGGAGAAGTGGACGGGAGAGTGCTTGGGTAGGTAGGAGTTGCATCACCAACACGCACCACCACACTAAGGGAGACGCACACCAGTGGCAGTGTTACACTTCACTATCTGTGTCTTCGCGCTCTTCCTGTCCTCTGCTACCAATCCACAGGATGTTTGTAACAGCGGGATTCCTGCCTTTCAAGGGGCGGTGCTCTGATGCTGGTGAAAAGTTATTGATCAAAGGATTGGAAACTATCCTTTTTTCCTCTCTTTCCATAGATAAACCGGGTAACCTATTTCCAAGGCGCTGTATGGCCACTTTGGTTTCATTGATTCCCCGTGAATATAATATTACTGATAATAATGGGATTCCTGCCGCATCGTGACAGAAATAATACGTGTATATACACGGAAAGTCTTCTGTTAAAGATAACAGACCTGTAATGGGCCTCTTCTACAGAGGATATTTTAGATTTTTAAGACACCTAAAAGACCCTGTGACTCTAGGCACATAATTTTTGGAAGACGAGTGACAAAGGCTGTACGTTGTGAGATGTGATGAAAGAAAATGTCAGAGTGAACGCAGACTTCCACACGGCGGATAAGAAGTTGATGTGATACTAGTCATTCCACGTGTTAATGTCTTTCCAGTGGTGGAACCAAGAGATCTCGAGCTCTCTCTCCACCCGCAAACTCAAAAAGGTTATATGTGATTACCATTATCAATGGCATACAAGACCGACAAGTTGATGTAACTGTACACTAGCCAATATTTATCTGAAATTTTTCCAAATTTATCTGAAATTTCACAAAATATGTCACACTGAAGATTACATTTTACTCTTCTCTGTTCGTAGGTTGGGAGTACAGGGAAGGTCCAGGACAACAATTGGTCAGGCAAAGATAAGCTTTAACAAGCTTTACTGGGAGAATCTTACGATTGGTAAAGATCTTGATTCTTGTATACGTGTGTACACACACACACACACACACACACACACACACACACACACACACACACACACACACACACACACACACACCACCAGGAGCTCGGACTCGACCCCCGCAACCTCAACTAGGTGAGTACACACACACACATACAAGAAGAGGTATGATAAAGCTCATGGTTCGGGGAGAGTGAACCTAGTAGCGACCAGTGAAAAGGCGGGGCCAGGAGCTATGACTCGATCCCTGCAACCACAATTAGGTGAGCACACACACCTGGGAGGAGTAGAAGAGGCGATTTCTTTTTTAAGTGAGTTTGTACTCACCTAGTTGAGGTTGCAGGGGTCGAGTCCTAGCTCCTGGCCCCGCCTCTTCACTGGTCGCTACTAGGTCACTCTCCCTGAACCATGTGCTTTATCATACCTCTGCTTAAAGCTATGTATGGATCCTGCCTCCACTACATCGCTTCCCAAACTATTCCACTTCCTGACTACTCTGTGGCTGAAGAAATACTTCCTAACATCCCTGTGATTCATCTGTGTCTTCAACTTCCAACTGTGTCCCCGTGTTGCTGTGTCCCATCTCTGGAACATCCTGTCTTTGTCCACCTTGTCAATTCCTCTCAGTATTTTGTATGTCGTTATCATACCCCCCCCCCTATCTCTCCTGTCCTCCAGTGTCGTCAGGTCGATTTCCCTTAACCTCTCCTCGTAGGACATACCTCTTAGCTCTGGGACTAGTCTTGTTGCAAACCTTTGCACTTTCTCTAGTTTCTTTTCGTGCTTGGCTAAGTGTGGGTTCCAAACTGGTGCCGCATATTCCAATATGGGCCTA